ATTTGCATCGAAAGATCAAATGGGTAAAACAATAATGTTTTAAAGATAAAGTTCGATGTTTACCCGAATGGCTAAGGCGGCTAAGTAGACATGAAAATGGCCTTTGGTGGTTAGAAGCAGTCCTAGGGATGCAGTTTCCGGGACATGATATCCGAGTAGTACACCACACAAGACCGTTCCGGTGACTTTTCCGGCTATTACAGTGGCTAGAAGGGCAAAGAACCTCGCCCACGCCATTTTATCTGTAATGTCAAAGTTTCTCATGTGGATAATGAATCCTACCCAGAAGAAGAAGATAGGGTAAAAGACCGTGCTGAGCAAGTAATTGATTTTGTTGATGATCCATTTCGACATTCTTCCTTGGTTTGGAAGGAATAGACCAGCCGTGAACGCGCTGAGGATCGGGTTGTACATTGATTCAGGTGGCCAGGTTGGGAAACTGCAGATCAAGACAACAAATGCGAGGGACATAACGAGGTGAGATCCTTTGAGTGGTTTGCCTTCAGGATTCTCATTGTTGACCCAATTAAGAAAGATTGGGGATACAATGGAAGTGAAAGTGACTTGAGCGAGGAAGAGACAAAACATGAGGAGGGCTCTGAAGAATCTGTGGAGAGGACGAGGCAGAGGTTTCTCTGTAGGAAAGAAAATGAAACCAAAGCAATAAAACAAAGTAGAGATCATGTCTGTGTGGACACCTGCTGCTGAAGCAAGCTTGCCAAGATCCGATTTTCTGATTTTGAGATTTGAGATGACGCGTGTGAGGATAGGAGAACCAGTGCTTGAGGCCATCAGGGAGAGAGCGAGGGAGAAAATGAAAGGCGCGGTTTTGGTATAATGGAGGAATGGAGTTGTGGCAAAGGCAAGAACAAAGGTTGTGAACATGCTTGTGTATGCTATGAATGCATCTTTGGTTGGTGGTCTAAGAAGAACACTTGGATTCATCTCGAGACCCATCACAAACATATGACAAATCATTCCAAATTCGATAATGTTGTTGAGGGTTACGGAATAAGGCCCCGAAAATGCCTCTCGAAACTTGGGAAGATTACCTAGAATCAACCCTATCTGATGCATACAAAAGTTTTGAGTTAGTATTGAAAAATCATCAAAAATAGATAAAAAGAAGAGAGATTGACATACCGCGAAATCGGTGGTGAGGTAAGGTTGGCCTAGAGGCTTCATGAGATGATGGAGGAGAGTTCGGATGACGAAAATGGCGATGAATCCAAGAAACTTCAATGCCTCTTCAGGCTTGTCTAGGTTAAGGTACCATTTGTCTCCACATACGTTTTTTGTTGTAGTTGAATTCATTGTCTTTTTGTCTATCTCTCCCTAGTCGTCTTAGTCGTTCGTGTGTATTTTGTGGCTTATTGTTTCTTGGAGAAGAAGAAAGCTTTTTCGATTTGTGTTTTGTTTTTTTTTGTTTCACTATACAATTTGGTTTAGGGGTTTGAAAATGAGAGGATGTGATTGTTGTTTACTCAGAAATTGGTGGAGACTCTTTTGTATCCCTTTTTTCACGCTCCTCTCCCCATCTTCTTCACCGTTCATTCATCATTTTCATCATCCAAGTCGGTGAAAACAAACATGACAAGTTGAGATATTTAATTACAATATTCTAATGATATAGTGTTCTATATCTAAAATAATTATGGCACGAAGAATACAATAATAATACATGTCTGTTTACAGTTGATAAAAAAAAAAAAATACATGTCTGTTTACTAAGAAACCAAGATTGCTACTACTCTCTTCTTCTTTTTTTGTCATCTATTTCTTTTATATTGATAATAATCAACCAAAACAACCAATTACAAACATCTAGAGAAGCTTGACAATAAACATGTCTTGTTTTTTTTTATAATTAATAATAAACATGTCTTACAAGTTACAACAACCAAAAATCAGGCTCAATACACAACAGCAGTCAATAACCTAAACATGTCTTCTTTTTTTTTGATAATCTAATATAATATTTTAATATTTTCTCTAAGTGAAGTTTTGAGAGGTTGCCACGTGTCACTTTTGGTGTTAACAATTTTTTATTTTTAATATCTTATTTTTACTTAAGTTTGACATTTGTCCCTCTAGATTTTAGAATTTTGCATTGATTCTTTAAAATAAAAATGTGATAGCAATATATTAACTTAAAGTAAACATTTAATTAACATCAAATTATCTTCATAAATTAATTAAAAATATGTAAAATCATATTCTAATAGATAATTGTTTTTTTCAATATCTCTCTTCAAATTCTTTAAATTTTTCTTAATTAGAATTTTCGAAAAACTATCATATTTGAAAAATATATA